CGGCCTGCTCCAAAATCGCCTCGCCCGCCGCCGTAGCCTCCTCTGTCGCCGCGTCCGCCGCCGAAGTCGCCGCGACCACCACCACCACCTCGTCCACGGAAGCCGCGACCTCGATCACCCCAAGGTCCTCTGCCTCGACCCATGCCCCTTCGAACGTGGCTTCGGTCTTCTAGTGGCGCACCTTGACCAACGATTTGCTCGAAGTGGTCTGGTCGGGCAAGCGGCTTGTACATGCCTAAATCCTCGTCTTCATCGTCGCTGTATTTCAGACCACCACCCTGGTACTCCATGGGTCGGTAGATGGGTGGTGCGGGTGCGTCTACGTGTAGTCTAGGCCCGGTAGGGATGTTGACAGCTACCTGTTCGTCGTTGCCGTCCGCCCTAGCGCGCTTCTTAGCCTTCTGTTCACGCTTGTATTCGGCCTCCTTCTCGTCATCTGAGAACTCGACATCGTTGGTCTCTTCGTCGTGGAGGTTCGATGCATCGGTATGCTTCTGTTGGCGGATGGGTTCCGTTTCGGTGAAGGTCGAGTGCTCATCCACATAGTAGATGGGCGTGTCTTTCTGAATACCTAGATTCTCAAGTTCAGCTGCGTCGTTAAAGCCGAAAGAGTAGCGAGGCTCCTCCACGCGGCCAATCTGCTCGGAGACCTTGCCGCAAACGGTACGATTTCCTAGACACAGTGCAGAGCCAGACTCAAGCACTTGTTCATCGCCAGACATATTGGCTTTGACGACGACGAGGTTTCCAACAATAGATTCCACCTTGCCGAGTTCTGTGATCTTGGTGTTTTCGGTGACTGTAATGTCCGGCATCTCGAATTTCTCGTCCTGTTCGTTGAGCGTCTTGACCTTGACTGGGCCTGAAGCGCCTGGCTCATCGGCAGCTTCAGCCATCAAAAGGCGGACCTGCTCTTCAGGGTCGAGAAGCTCGCCCTCGTCTGATCCCTCATCTGAGCTGTCGTCAGAGCTGGAGGAGTCCGAAGACGAGTCCGAGTCAGACGCATCCGAATCTAGCTGCCATTCGGCGTTCTGATCATTCCTGTTGGCTTCGGCGGCGCGCAAGAATTCGGCCTTGCTATCGAAAGCCGCGCCATCGGGTGCAGAAGCATCTTTGGGGGTGTCTTCAATCTCGTTCTGGAGGTCTATGGCGGCAGTAAGAGCCGCGTCGAGCTCACCGTCCGTGTCAGCGGCTGGTGTGTCGGCAGCAGCAACAGCATCTTGGACAGAGGAGAGATGCGGCTCAGAGTGCTGTGGAGCCTCATCCTGCGCCTGACCCTGATTGGCTACGGGCGGCGCGACTGGGATGTCGGCCTGCGGATTCGCATCATGGTAAAAGGCCTCCTCATCTGAGAGCTCGCCGTCTTCAGGGGCGTCGTCTTGGACGACCGCGCCGCTCTGTGGTTGCGACTGCGCGACCGGGGTCTCGCTCACAGAGCCGAGTCCAGGAAGGTGAAAGGCTGGCGCGGGTGCCGCCGTAGCAAACAACGACGTCGTCCCGTCCACCGCAGTAGGCAGCGCAGAGGGCTTGACGGGTGTAGTGTCGTAAAAGTCGTCGTCCATGTCATCGACAGGCGAGCCAGGCGCGTCGAGCGCAGATGCAGATGTAGATGTGCCATAAAAGGGTGCGTCCGCCTCCAACCGCGCCCTTTTGGCCGGTGGTTCCAGAGAGTCGGACATTTTCGTGTCTCTCTCTGCAGTCTTCTCTGAATCACGCGTGATCGCTGCGATATATCAACTGCGTTGTTTGCACCAGTTTGCTTAAGTGCGTGCGATGATAGTTCTGGTTGAGAAGAGCACGTCCTGGGAGAACGTCGCCTTTTTGGATGCGCGCTAATAGGCTTGGCGGGCAGGCGCGAGCTCAGCCCTATGAAGCGCGAACCCATTACGCATTCGCGTCGTGTCAGTGAAAGTGCATTCTGTGTGCTTTCGATGGAGATTCGCCAGCGCCTTGGATTCGCCCTTTGCATGCCCAACTGCTGAAATGTCTACTACCCGCCCGAAGACGGCGCATCAGACGGCTGAGTTGGTTCACTTCTGCCCTTCTTGCAATTAGCTAGGCTAACGTATGCACCATGTATGTAGTGCACCGCCTCAGCTCTCTACCTTTGCAGTTTTCTGCGTATTCTCCTTCGCCAATCTCGTCGCTGCCGCATTCTCTCCGATCCAAGACTGCGACGAAGTCTTCAATTACTGGGAACCAAGCCACTACCTCAACCATGGCTACGGTCTCCAGACTTGGGAGTACTCTCCCGACTACGCCATCCGAAGTTGGGCCTATACTGCCATACACTCGCTTGTGATTGGGCTCGCAATGCTACCTATGCAATCGCTAGGCTTGCAAAGATCCAAAGTCTTCGAGTTCTATTTCCTGCGAGCCGTTCTGGCGGTAGTCTGTGCAGCATGCCAGACTCGCATGTACACTGCTATTAGAAAGACGTTCGAGGTGCGGGTCGCATCGTTCTTTGCGATGATCATGGTTATAAGTCCGGGCATGTACCATGCTGCCCCTGCATACCTCCCGTCGAGTTTCGCCATGAATTGTGCAATGCTTGGATTTGCGTCTTTCATGGACTGGTCTAAAAGCACCATGAGGACTGCCCAGGGTATTACATGGTTCGCTGTAGGCAGTGCCCTGGGTTGGCCTTTTGCAGGCGCTCTCGCTCTGCCATTCATTGCAGAAGACGTCATTGCGGGCCTATTCACTGGCACAGTTCTAGAAAGTTTGCGGAGAGTACTACTCAATGGCGCGAGCAGAGCACTCGTCGTTATACTCTTACAAACCGTCATCGACTCGCTCTTCTACAGGAAGCTCGTGTGCGTGCCGCTGAACATTGTACTTTACAACGTCTTCAGTGGGGGTAGCAGAGGCCCTGATATCTATGGCGTGGAGCCATGGCACTTCTACGTTCGCAACCTGGCCCTGAACTTTAACATATGGTTCTTTCTTGCGTTGGCTGCTCTACCACTACTACTTATCCAGTATCTTGTCTTTGACCGGGCTGTTTATCGCAGCACGCTCACCAGATCTATCACTTTCGTCAGCCCATTTTACTTATGGTTAACGATATTCACGGTCCAGCCTCACAAAGAAGAGAGATTTATGTATCCTGCATACCCAGCGCTAGCCTGGAACGCAGCCCTCTCCTTGCACATCTTGCTAGCCAACTTTGGCTCGATGGACCCACGACATCTAGTAAGCAAGATACCTCCGATGGTGAAGCTTGTCATTGTCTGTATACCTGTGCTTCTGTCTTTAAACCTGGGCATTCTAAGGATTAACGGTATGTTATAAGCACCTTTCTTTCCAACTACCGCCATGCATCAGAATACATCAAACACTTTGAGATGCAGTGTTGACCTATTTTTAGGCCACATGTCCGCATACTCAGCACCACTGAAAGTTTACAAGCCATTGTTCGACCCGGCAGTCGCCCGTCCAGGAGATACTGTGTGTTTAGGAAAGGAGTGGTATCGCTTTCCGTCGTCGTTCAACTTACCTCAGGGAGTTCGTGCCAAGTTCATCAAGAGCGAGTTCTCTGGTCTTCTACCAGGCGAGTTCAGCCAGGCTGACGCCGCTCTCGGAATGTTCCCTGGCACATGGATGGTACCGTCTGGAATGAACGACGAAAACTTGGAAGATCCTAGCAAATATGTAGGTGAAGCTGGCATGCACAAACATCATTTATACTAACTGCGATAAAATAGACCAACATCGACCAGTGCGACTTTATTGTTGACTCGCGCTCTGCTGGAGCTCCTCCAACAACCCTCGAGCCTGATTATGTCTCCAATACAGAAGAATGGGAGGCCTTGAAATGTTTTCCTTTCCTGGACGCAAGCAAGACACATACTATTAGTCGCATGCTTTGGGTCCCAGATCTACCCGTGATCCCGGCTAAGTTCCGCCGCCAATGGGGCGATTACTGCCTGTTGCAACGCAGGGCTCAAAAGAGCGCATAGCGTAGATGTGGTACTGCGGGTCGTCTGATACAATGTGTAGTCAGTTAGGTCCTGTTAGATAGAGGAGCAAGGGACAAGAAGGCAACTCTTCTTGCCGAATGCCGACGCGCTCCAACTTGACCAGACGCACTCGACAGCTGTTACATTCCCCGATCGCCTTACCCACAGGGCACGAGGAAGCTCGGTTCTGTTATCGAAGGAAACGACCAGCTCTGTTCGGTGCTTCGCGTCGATAGACACCAAGTCTAACCGAGTGGGGTATTGCTTTCCCCGCCCAGACTGGGAGATAACCACCACTGACGACACATGCGCGACAACCCCACACTGTCATGGGTCGTTATCGCAGGAATTCATTGGCTTGTATATATGCTGAAACAATAAAAGGAAGCTATTTTACACACCTCGCATGATGAACGCGACTACGGGATACTGCTGCTGTGGTTTCTTATCGATTCGCATGATCACGCATTTACTCATATAGCCAACGTCTCATCGTTTCTTTCTAGATGACTATGTCTTGGTAGTATTGTTACCCTGATGTCTGCAATGTCCGACCTTGTCACTAGACTCGAAGAGCACACAACACGTCTCGCACGTGATGCACAACACCGCTGCACCACCATACAAACCCAATTCAACACTTTACTCAAGGATGCCAACATACAGCCAAAAGCAGCTCTCTACGCAGCTTTATTCTTCGCAACATTCACATGGCTCGCCATAACCCTCAGCCGCCTCCTTCTTAGCCGTCGACGTCCTACCTCGCGACCCAGCACGCCGAATCTCGAGAAACGTTCCCCATTCAAAGCTCCAGATAGGCCACCTGGGGGTATGTTCATTCCGATCAATCCTCCTCCTCAGTCCTCCTTCCCCACCTCCCCTCGTTTTTACCCAAACTAATACTGCACCTTGATTCTAGTATGGCACCCATCCCCATTCACCCGCCCCACGGCATCCCCTTACCCAAATTGGTCCCTATCAACAACAAAACCTCTACCTTATCGTCCCTTCCGCTACGGTCCCAAATACAACATCACAATGGGCCTACGCAACATGTCGTGGGACGAATGGATTGAACTCGATAATGAATACACATCTTACCACTCCCTCAAAGCAGCCAGGATAGCCGAAAGAGGAGAAAAATGCATCAAGACGGCTCCTGAAGCGATGAGTGCGGCGAAGGAGTTGTTGGAGGAGTTGGTTGATTACTTACCACAGCGGTACCCGAGTTTGTTCCAAGAGATGAAGGTGGGGAAGGGGAAGGGAATGAAGAATCTAGAGACAGGTGAGGTTTTCGATGTGGAGGGGTGTGCGAGAGATGGGAAGAGGGAGGATCTGATGGAGATGTGTGCTAGGATGATTCAAGATGATCTTGCAATCATGGTTGAGAAGGAGGATGGGCAGTACTACTTGCTTGCTGGTGCTATCTTGCTGGCGGGATTTTGGAGGTTGGAGGATAAGTTTGGGATGCCGCTTTCTACCATTCATACGAGTGGGGACGTTCCGGGGTGAGCCTTCCCAGTCGATTTTCACCATTGCTCTCTTGATGAAGATACGTTTGCTAACAAATCTCGCAGGTTCAAAGACAAACTCGAGAAACCAATGTCCAATTTCTTCCGCAGAATACAACCACAGTCACCTGTTCTACGGAACAACTACTTCATTCAAGTCGATGACAAACTAGCCTGGAGCGAGAGTATAGGCAGTGAAGATGCGAAAGAAGATGGAGGCATTGGGTGGTTTACAGCAGAGAAGAACAAGGCCGTTGAGCATCATTGGTTCAGGAGTGAGAGGCAGAGTTTACGGAGGTATGTTACTGCTGCCCTACTACCCCTACCTGTTCCGGTGTCCATAGAGTAAAGCTTCTAACGTTGCTTCCTCAGGTTGCCTAAATCTGGTGGTGTGGTATTTACGATTCGAACTTACTTCCATCCCATCACGGATATCGCGCAGGAACCCTATGTGCCTGGCCGACTAGCCAGCGCGATTCGTTCTTGGGGTGAGGATGTGAGTCGCTATAAGGGGAAGGAGATGTATGGGGATGTATTGCTGGAGTATCTGGAAAAGAAACACGCAGAGCAGGTGGAAGGAGGGCTGGACGTTGATGGGGAGGAAGATGTTGCAAGGGGTTATCCGTTTTGATCAGGGCGTATTTCGGGATGAAGGTGTTCAGCAAAGGGAGTTTTCTCCATTGAATATGTGAAAAATTATTCTTGCTCAATCAGGAACTGTCACCGATCTCGTTACAAGGGCCGTGTATCGCTGATCCAATATCTAGGCGATTTGCATGCTTATATCGTACCTTCTCAGATCATTTAGTGCAGGCCCGACCCTTTTCTGACGCTAGTAGTCGGGCCGGATGCGTGAGGCGAAGTCGGGGTCTGCAAGTCGTGCCGAATATAGAAGTTGTGCTGTGCATCAGGCAGTTCTTCGGTCGGCGACGTACTAGGCCATCTCTGTACTTGTCGTTTAAGCACTCTGGCTGGTTTGCTCGGGATGGGTCGGCACGAGCTAGGTGTACCGGCGCAGGTTTTTATGTAGGCAGAATTAGTGTGTGAGCATTTCTGAATTCTTACAGGTGTCAAGCAGCAGTGGCCAGATGCAGAATGATGGGGTTGTACCATGGTTGATGTCGTGCAGTAGCTCGCGGTTTGATGGGCATCCGGGGTGTTGCGCTTGTGGAATTGCTGCCTGACGCAAAGGGCCATGATAATGTACGTGGTTATGCTAGTCGAGTCAGCTTGGACCGTTGACTGCTCGAACCAGTGGGCATTAAATTGCGGCAGCCGTTTGTATAATGGTAGGCCTGTTTCATAGTAGTGCTGTCATGACGTTGCGCAGGGTCGGAAATGAGCCGAGGTGGTGTTTGCGGGATGCTAGGGGATTGCGATAGAAGGGAAACACTTGTTTAGCGAGATGATGAGGGCGGCCAATGGTTGCTTTGGATCGCCAGGGAGCAAAAGTACCGATGCAATGGCAAATCGCGGCACTGAATGTATGTGTGTTCATCTGGAAACGGCAGTACCCTTGTACAGGATGCCGGATGGACGTGTGTTTATTGACTGTTGTATGCGTTGTTGTTGTTTTGCAATCTTGCGCTGTCACGCTCCTCGGGGGATTAGATGCCCGTTGCGAATACGACCAAGATAAGTGGGAGGCACCTTGACCTCGCGGATGCGTTAGTCGTCACGGGTGAACCTTAAACCTCACGTGGGCTGGGAGACTATAGCCCGGCTCCCGACGTAATAGCGCAGTAGTGCTTGCTAGATCTTAGAGGTGCAGCTGGCGAGTGGCCGACAGAAGCGTGTGGCTGTGAGGCGAAGGCGGGCAGTTCGCATGACGGGGAGTGGAAAAAGCAGTTCGCATCTGCACAGCAAAGCGGGTTCCTGTGCGTGCCAGTGCATGTCAGCATGTGTAAACCTGTAATGGCAATGCAATTCCCTGTAGAGCAGGCGGAGCACCGGAGTGAAGCGAGGACAGATTAGCCCGGCCAGGCCTGGGTCAATGCATAGCGGCGTTCAGCCCAAGCGACACGGGCGCTGACTGGTGAATTGCGTCGTCTGGCGCGCCGCTGGGCGATGTGACAGGGCTGCACATCAATCAACTCTAGTCGATTCCCTCTTGTCCTGTCTTGTAATTAAGAAGTCTGCACAGTCGAGTCGCTGCTGGCCATGCTTCGTTCACGTACTCGCTGACGCCGGCAAACCTCGTCGAATTGCTGCGCGCTGAACTATGGGGGAGGATGGCCTTATCGGCAATGCAACAGAATGTCTTCCCTGCGCCGGGCTCCCCTGCCGAAGGGAAACGCGATATTTTGCCCGGTGCAGGTGCAGGTGCAGTTACGGCAAAACGGCGCGCTGACGACACGCGCCGTCTGCGAAGAGTGAAGGACTCGAGGGAGCAACTCAAGAGCAGGACGAGGGCACGCGGCACCAGCAACGCCACCATCGACACGACGACGAGTAACTCGACCTCGGCCGGACGGAGCTATACCGTGGCCAATGTTCACAACGGCGTCATCTACCTGAGGTACGCACCAACTTGATATCTCGAGATTGCCATGGTGTTGGTGGTGGGACGAGTCTGTCCCAGCAAACATCATGGACGTATGAGGAAGGAGCGATACGTGAGCGACACCACAAGGAAGGCGCACGTCATGTCTCGCCTCTTGCCTCCTCCCTCCCTCCATCTTTCACATACTTAAATCCCTCGTGTATAGAATCTAACTCTCTCAGACCCGTAGCCCGTCCTGGTAACCAGCGCGGCCGTCAACCAGATCCCTTCGTCTTTCCGCCCCAGACGCCGCCCGACAGCGCAACCCTCGACAAGCTCCGCCCGACCAGCAATGAATGGGAGCAGAGTCTGTACGGCTCAAGGACACCCCACTCTGAACCTACGCCACCGCTGCCAGACCTGAACGAGGGCAATGCCTTCCAGCAGCAACCCCAGGCAGATCCCACCACTGGACGACTCGCACACGTGCGCTCGCATTCATTCTCTACCGTTGACGACCACACTGCCACGACGCTGAGCCACGAGCCAGGCACCTTCAAAGTTGTCATTGAAAGGCCCTCGCATATGCGCCCCAAGACCGCAGACACATCGTCATTCCCGCTGTTGCAGGTTCCCATCCCGCATTACCGCTTGGGCACTCCGCGTTTCAGCACACGAGGGACGGCAGACCTGCGCAGTTCAGTCTACACCCGAACCTCAGGCACCGAGGACTTTGCCAATTCGCTCCTGACCCCACAGCGAGGGGTGCGGCAGTCGTTTCTGTCGTCGCGCCCACGTTCAGACGCCTATTCGCCTGTCCCCCACCGCTTCCGCGCCACTATGGACCGCCCAGCTGTACCCCTCTCCGGTCCCTCTTCAGCTCGTGTCTCGCACATGCCTATTAGCCCCCGACTCTACGATGCCCTTACAATCAACCCCGACGACCGCGCTGTGGTGCGCTTCAACGCCGAGGGTGAGATTCTCGCAGCCACCCCTTCACGACTTGTAGCGCATATAACTTCTCCAAGCTTCCTGGATTACGAACTCCTATCCGACTTCTTTCTGACTTTCCGCGCCTTTCTGTGTACCCGAGACCTTGTCGCATACCTCATATCTCGACTACGATGGGCCGTCGATCGCCAAGACGACTTCGGGCGCATCGTCCGCGTGCGGACTTTTGTAGCCCTTCGCCATTGGATTCTAAACTACTTCGTCGACGATTTCATGCCGTATTACTCTTTACGAACTAATTTCTGCGACCTTGTCAACAGCCTGTACAGGGATCTCCGAGCTCGAGAGGATGGAGGTGGGGGCGACATCAAGATTGTCGGGGAATTGAAGAAGTGCTGGAGGCGGACGTGTGCGCTATACTGGGAGACCGAAGATATTATCGGCCAAAACTATGCCGACGACGAGCTGCTTCCGGGCGGATACGATGGCTCACAAGCAGCATATGAGGAGCCCCCTCCGGTTGTTCCAGTACCAAGCACGCCTCCACGAACCAATGTCCGGGACACCAAGGAAACTATCGGCTCAAACCCAAGTGACCATTTTGCTAGTCGGCATATGGATTGGGCGCAAAGAGCACGCCATACGCCTCAGAACTCCATGAGCTCACCCTACATACCATCACAAGAATTCGAAGCCGCGCCCACGCAAATACCCCTATCGCCCGCCAGCGAGCAGAGTATGCACGTCCTTTCCTGTTCTATACCCATGCGAGGTCTGAACAAACATGACCAGGCGGTCGAGCTTCCCTTGTATCCTCATCCAGTACCGGTCGCCAACCCAGTCCCCACTGGTACTGCTCGCTTGACAGCCAGTCCACAACAGCCAGCATCCATTAAGAGCGTCCACCGCCCGTCGCATGGTCACAAGCGTAGTGGGAGCTTTTCAGACGCTCTCAGAGACAGCAGAGCTCCGCTGTCCATCCCCAAGAACGCACCCGCGGACTATGCTATGTCAGCTGTCATGAATATGCCTGGCACTCTAGTACGCGGTGGACTCTTCCAACCCAGCTCACCATATTTCGAAGTCAGAGCTATACATCCTTCGCGCTCTCAGTACCTTCAAGACATTGAGGATGCTGAAGTAAATGAGTTTCAAAGACCAGGACATGCCACCGCCCATTCCCCAGGCATGAAGAAGATCTTCGGCAGTGTACGTCGCGCACTAAGCACACGACAGCAATTGAGCCCAAGTCCCCAATTAGGTAGCGTTAGCCAACAGCGCCAGCCGTCATACATGCGAGCCTCCAACCCAGGTGCAGCATCAGCCGTCTCAGTTTCAGGCGGTGTACACAAACGACGTCCTGCTCGACCGAGACCGCAGGTGCGTATTGATGTTCTGGCTGCTACGGTTGCAGAGAGCTTTCGAGCTGCAGTTCAGGAGCAGCTCGAAAACGAAAGCCATGAATACCATGGTATCGACCCTCCTGATCTTGGGGGATTCGAGTTTGAGTTCGATAGCCGTGGTACACCAAACCCGAATGAGCACCAGAGGGCACCTGATGCCCGCGTACACAGCGCCATTACTAGTGGCAGCAAGTCGATTCTGATTATCGACGATACTGGTCCGCCACCTTTACCTGTCATGTCGGATACCCTACCACCCGATCTTGAGAAGGAGCCTACAAAGCTAGACAGCCATCAGCAAGAGGAAACACTTGACGAGAACCTAGCTGGCGAAGCCGCTCCATCAGTACACAACTCTGATCTCTACGACTACCCAGAGCCTCGCTCAGCGCCGCCAGAGTATCGCACCTCGCGCATGTCGACTCGACGGCCTCCGACGAGACAAAGAAGGTCCATCTCTGCAGGTCCAGCAAGGATGCATTCCTTCCGGCGCCGGGGCTCTACCAAGACCTCCCTTTCTCTCCGTCGACATGCATCCTATAACAGCGTGCTTAGCAGGCGTCAAGGACCTGCCAGCATTGCGACATTCCAAACGATGTCATCAGAAAACGATCCCTTCTTCCTCGAACGTCAGGCAGCACCTGAAGCTAGTGGGCCCGCCCGCCAGCTTCGTAGAAGACCAGGTGGTGACCTCCGCGCTGCAGGCAACGTTCACGATCTTGAGACTTTGCAGCGGCCACATTCCACCGGTTCTGTTTCCAATCGCACACACTCAGTGACAAACTCTGTCATCCT